TGTCTCTGTAATAGCTGTAAGATAATACCCATTAATGTACATTTGTGCCATTAAGTCATTTATTTTGTTCCAGGGACCATGTGCACTCAAGTAAAGAGATATTAATTTTTCCTCTCTACCATTTCTTCCCCTTTGACTGTATTTACTTATGTTTGCATTCTCTGTCCCTTCCAGTCCCACTCTGGGTTTTGCGATCCAAATAAACTCCTTCTAATGCAATCAAATCTTTTAGCTTTGTAGGCGTACATTTAATTTCTCCCAAGCCCCTCTCTGCCCTCTAATGAGTTTAAATGCTTCCCGACAGCCCTACCATTTCAAGTCACCAGGACACCGGTCCCAGCACGGTCTAAATAAAGATGATCCTACTAGAACACCATGCTTCTATCCCAGCGCTCATGACAATGCCCCATGAACTGAAACCAACTCCACCCACACCGAGAGCCACCAATTGAACTCCTTGCCTTTATTTACCCTATGTCAGTTCGCCTGTGTGTCAGGTAGGAGTAGACAGATCAATACCTCAGGGATTCTGCTTTTGTTTTTGATTTCTGCTGGGATGGGCTTCACATGAACGGTTGCTGGGAACAGTGTCCTGATGAATTGAATAACTAGGGCCGTAAACCGAGCTTTAAAATAATTAGGGAGAGGAAGGGTTTGGGAGTGGGGAAAACATAGACTTACAGACCAAAAGGATATAGTGCATGCGGGGCAATTATTTTGACCATGATACCCAGTGTGGAACAGGAAGGCACAGAGTATACAAACATAAAAGAAAGAACAGATCCAGTAAGGGACAAAGGGTGGAAGGCAAAGTTAATGAAATCAACTTGAAAGTATGTAGTATTCACAACAAAAGGAATGAAATAACGGCACAAATACAGGTTAATAGGCATGATTTTATAGCCATTGCAGAGACATGGTGATAAGAAGATCAAATCTGTGACTGGGCACTCAGGGGCATGGAATCTATTGAAAGAACAGACAGGAAAGGAAGGGTGGTGGAGTGTTAATGTTAGTATGAGATGGGATAAACAGTCAGCAAAAACTGATTTTGGATTGGAAGACGTGCAGATTAGGTGGATTGGCCATGCTAAATTGCCCGTAGTGTCTGGGGATCTGCAGGCTAGGTGGGTTAGAGGGATGGGGTGGATCTGGGTGAGACGCTCTTCAGAGGGTCGGTGTGGACTCGATGGGCCGAATGACCTGCTTCCACACTGTAGGGATTCTATGATTCTGCGCAGGGTGCAGAATCCGTATGGGTGGGGGTAAGAAATAATAAGGGGAAGAAAACTTGTTGAGAGTAGTCTATTTGGCTGTTCTGTAAAGCAAAGTCTAAATCAGGAGGTAATGAGGGCATGTGAAAAAAAGGCAGTACATTAAATATGGGTGACTTTAATCTACATGTAGATTGGGAAAATTAAATTGGCAAAGTTAGCTGTGAGGAAGAATTCATGGAATGTACTCGGGACAGTATCAGACTGTTATCAGACTTTTGAATGGACCTCTTTAATGTTAATGCTGATCTCTTTTTTTCTTGGCAGCTGTAACATTGTATCCTGCACTCTGTTCTGTTACCCTGAAGCACTTGTATAGTACAGCACAATCTGCCTGTAAAGCACATAAAACAACAATTTTCACTGTACTTCGGTATATGTGACAGTAATAAATCAAATCAAATCAATATGTTATAGATTCAACCTGGGATTGGGCTATTTTGGAACTGGTAATGTGTAATGTAACACTTTAACAAATGAATGTTATGTTCTATTGTGAGGGGAATTGAAAGCAAGAGTAGGGAGGTTATGCTTCAGTTATATAGGGCATCAGTAAGACAGCGTCTGGAATACTGTGTACAGAACTCATCTATTTATTTAAGGAAGGATGGAAATGTGTTGGAGGCAGTTCAGAGACGGTTTACCAGCCTAATACCCGGAATGAGTGGTTGTCTGACGAGGAAAGATTGGACAAGCTTGGCTGGAGTTTAAAAGAGGTAACTTGATTGAAACATACAAGATCCCTGAGGGAGCCTGATTGGGTGGAAGTGGAGAGGATGTTTCCTGTTATTGGAAAATAGAGAACTAGGGATCACTGTTTGACAATAGGGGCACAATCTCATAGTGTGGGGTCACTTAGTTCAGACAGAGATAAGGAGGAACTGTTTTTCTCCCGGGGGTAGTGAATCTGTGGATTTTTTTTTACCACAGAGCGCTGTTCAGGCTGGGTCATTAAGTATATTCCAGGCTGACAGAGATGGATTTTTAATCATTAAGGAAATCAAGCAATATGGGGAAAAGGTAATAAAGTGGAGTTGAGGATTATCAGATCAGCTCAGATGTCATTGAATGGCAGAACAGACTTGATGGGCTGAACGGCCAACTTTTGCTGCTACACCTTATGGTCATTCCTGATGTAACATTTCTCTCTCTATTCTCTCCCTATATTTCAATAACAGACTCTATTTAAATGGTTTTCACATGGTGTTGTGTATATAACAGGCCATGTTTTGCTGCTTAGAATACTATCCTGATTACACAACAGACCCTATTTTATTGTGTGTTTCTCTGCATGCATGGCAGACCATAACTTATTAAGTCTAATACTGTTGTGTGCATGCAACAGGCCATTTATTAATTATTTTACAATTTCGGTCTATACATATATAAACAGATCATAATTCTCTGCGTATAACACTGCTCGTATTTCACTGCATGTAACATCCTTTTGTATCTATCATAGAATTAAAGAATTTTACAATACAGAAGACCATTCGACACATCATGTCTGTACCAGCTCCTGACAGAGCTATCTAACTCGTCCCATTCTCCAGCCCTATCTCCATAGCCCTCTAACTTCATCACTTTCAAAATTATATCCAGTTCTCTTTTGAAATCTATGGAATCCGCCTCCACCACTCTCCCAAGCAGTGCATTCCAAATCCTGACAACTCTGAGCAAAGAAGTTTCTCCTCATCTCATTCCCAGCTCTCTTGCTGACAATCTTGAAATTGTAACCCCCTAGTTACTGACATACCAACTAGTGGAAACAGAATATCCTTCCTTACCCTGTCAAAATTGTTCATAATGTTGAACACTTCAATAAGGTTACCTCTTAATCTTCTCTGCGCCATGGACAATAAGCCCAATTTCTCAAATCTTTCCTTGTACCTAAAATCCTTCATTCCTTGTATCACGCTAATAAATCTCTTTTGCGCTCTCTCCAGATCATAGAGTCATAGAGTAATACAGCATGGAAACAGACCCTTTGGCCCAAACTGGTCCATGCTGACCATGGTGCCCACTCAGCTAGTTCTAACTGCCCAGATTTTGTCCATAAACCCTTCCCATTCATGTACCTATCGAAATGTCTTTAACATCCTTCCTTAAACAAGGTGTCCAGAACTGAACACAATGATCCACATGATTAGTAGAGGTGTAGAACAAAGAACAAAGAAAATTACAGCATAGGAACAGGCCCTTCGGCCCTCCAAGCCTGCGCCAATCCAGATCTAAACCTGTCGCCTATTTTCCAAGGATCTGTATCCCTCTGCTCCCTGCCCATTCATGTATCTGTCTAGATACATCTTGAATGATGCTATCATGCCCGCCTCTACCACATCTGCTGGCAATGCGTTCCATGTTCCCACCACCTTCTGTGTAAAGGACTTTCCACGTATATCTCCCTTAAACTTTTCCCCTCTCACCTTGAAATCGTGACCCCTAGTAATTCTGTCCCCCACTCTGGGAAAAAGCTTCTTGCTATCCACCCTATCCATACCTCTCATGATTTTGTAGACCTCAATCAGGTCCCCCCTCAACCTCCGTCTTTCTAATGCAAATAATTCTAATCTACTCAACCTCTCTTCACAGCTAGCGCCCTCCATACCAGGCAACATCCTAGTGAACCTCCTCTGCACCCTCTCCAAAGCATCCACATCCTTTTGGTAATGTGGCGACCAGAACTGTACACAGTATTCCAAATGTGGTCAAACCAAAGTCCTATACAACTGTAACATGAGCATCACTTCCTTGTTTTTATACTCTATGCCTCTATTTATAAACCTAAGGATCCTATAAGTCTTCTTAATAACTGTTTCAATTTGCCTGGCCACCTTCAGGGAATTATGCACAAGGTCCTTCTGCTCCTGTGCTCCCCTCAAAGTTGTACCTTTAAGCCTGTATTGTTTCTGCATGTTTCTTTGACCAAAATATTTACCTTACATTTTTCTGCATTGAAATTCATCTGCCCATTTCGTCAATTAAAGATCTATCTTGGTATTGATTTCAAACGCCTCCATGACCTATGTCTTACACAGTCAGTATATCAGTTACTTTTAAGAAAAATTACTTTTTAAAAGAAAATTTCATACTCCAAATCACTTGAAGCATGACACTCTACGAGACATTTGCTATCAAGGTGTAACCTACTAACTTACTGTTAGCCCAGATAGTAAGGTACCTGTATATCTAATGTTTTCAACTATTAACTTGCCATAAAAAATCTGTTAAATTCTTCAATCTCATGATATCCACATCAAATTAAATTTCTTATGTTGCGAGGGATTAACATAAACTTTGGCACAACAGTTGGAGAGATACACTGCTGGATGCAAACACTCACCAGCCCTCAACTCTCCAATTTCCCACAAACCTGGGTGATATCTGTGCTCATCTAATTCTGGCCTCTTGCGCATTTCCGGTTTAGATTGTTCCACAACGCCTTCAGCTGCCTGGGCTCCAAACTCTGGAATTTCCGTCACTAAACCCTTCCCAACTCTTTACCTCTCTCTCTCTCTTACTTTGCCCTGTTTGAAAACACTGCTCAAATTCTCTCTCGCTTTGTTGACATGCCCGAATGTCACGCAGTGTCAGATTGGGTTTGGAACTCCCTCTTATTGATTAGAATCGGGAGATTTAACAAAGGGAAATGTTTTATTTCAAGTTTGGATGCTGTTTGAATCTGACCTAATATTTAATTGTTCTCTCTCTCTCTCTCTTACAAAGGTGCCAAAAATGTTGGGCTTTGCATCAGGAAGCACTCACTCCATTTTGGATCAGACATTTGGTCATGTAAGGGAGCCCAGTGGAAAGGATTCTCTTCTTCCGATGCAGGATCCAGGGAACTTACACTCGCAGCATCTGAGGCTGGTGGAGCCTGGGGTGGAGGCGCAATCCTGTGAGCTGCTGCCCCCTCAGTCATTGGCAGAGGATGTGCTATCCAAGGCAACGAGCTACGACACAGTGTACGATGTTCGCATCCAGGACCTTGATGCTCATTTCTCCTTCGAGGGCAGCAGCTTTTTCGATCTCCCGATGCTTGGCCTCAGCCCGTTCCCCATTGACGATCCCGACTTCCCGCTCAGCCCCCACGTCATAAAGCGGAGACGAGGGGGCATTGTGGAACAGAGGGACATCATCAAAGCTCACCAGGCCCATAAAATGCAGAGCACGCCTCAGGCCAAGCGCAAGGAATGGGAGTGAGTACCGGTCGGTGCCATCCGCAGATGGAACCCATGCCATCTTTGTCCTCTCACTAGCAGTTCCCGATCCTGACTGTCCAGGCCATACAACAGGGCGAAAAGACAAGCCAATGCCAACCGGCGCTCAAAGATATCATTCAAGAGGAAGGGCGTTGGGCTAGAGGGCTAGTGAAGGAAAGGAACAGCACAGTAAACCACCTCAACTAGCAAATCGCATCACATCATTTGGAATCCAAAAACTAGAAGGAAGGAGAGAGTCAGGGAGGGAGGGAGGGAGGGATGGAAGGAAGAGTGTGGGAGGGAGGGGAGGTTGAGGGAGAGAGGGATGAGTGAATGATGTAGGGGAGAGTGAGAGAGGGGAGAGTGAGGGAGGAGTGAGTGATGGAGACGATAATGAGGAAGGATAGAGTGAATGAGGGAGAAATGGAGAGAGGAGTGAGTGAGTGAAGAGTGAGTGGTTAATAAATGCAGAGAAAGTGAAGGAGGAGTGCGTTCATGCAGACCGTTTACCAGCCTGTATGATATCGTCCCATATATTAATATATATAATATGCCATTATTTTATTGTTGGGTTCTTTAGCCAGGTATCTTGAAGTTTATTTAAACAGTAACTATTTACAAGGCTGCACTATCACAATCTTTCACATGCATTCTGGGTGTTTTGCTTTCTGGTGTTACTGTACATTGATTCCATTACGTAAGAATGAGTGATTGAGGGTGAAGCAGTACCTTTATATCAGAGTATCTCATTTTAATGATAAAATAGAAGTTTATTAAAATAAAAGAAATGAAGTCAAAATAGAACAAATCAAGCTTTTCACATTTAATACAAGTTGAAACACACAGCAGGTTAAAATCCCATCTATCCCAAACTATCACTTTACAGTTCTCAACAACTAGAGAGAACTCCCTCCTCTGTAGACTTGACTTTAACTGTTTCTTTCAGTTCTAGGTCTTGAGAGCTTATAACATTTTTCTTGATTGTTTACACAACTGAGCTTAAACGCCTTAGCTTCAAGTAACCCCTTAGGGTTTCTAACCAAACAGTCCTGGTCTGGAATTTTTAAACCAAAACCCTCACTCTAAGATAACCTATTTCCTAACTGTTCTGAACCAATCCCTTTCTCCCAGAGAAACTGTTCATATATTTTGACCCTCACCATGCCCTCTGTGAAATGAAACAAATGCTTTCCAATAATTATGAAACCTTCTCATATACCTAGACCAGAAGCCAAATGTCACCAGATCAAAATCCATAACTCTAAAATAAATGATATTACTACATATGATATTAGTACATACATGCCTTACATCACAATAGAGAGTGAGGAAGGAAGGACAGGGTGAGAAAGGAGATACCGAGGGAGGGGAGGCTTAGGGAGGGAAGTAGGATTAAGGCAATACTTGCATGCTATATCAAAGAGGCGTATGGTAGTTCTCCTAAGTGAACCTGGTTTACTATTTACCCATCAATCAGCATCCAGAGAAAATGGTTGGTTTGTTGCTGCTGGTGGGATCTTGCTGTGCATACAAGAAATTCCATATTCCCTTCTAGTCACCTGAGTGGTGCTCAGGGCAAGCATGGAACCCAGAGTCTGCAGTGTTGGGGAGTGGGTAGGTGGGAAGGAGGGAAATAGCCAGGAAGGTATAAGGAGCAATTTTATGGAACAGAAAGGGTTCCAAATGAGGAAAGTAGATTGACCCTGAATGGTTTAAATCATGGGGGCCCGGGATAAAAAGTTTCTCTCTTTGGAGTATGGTATATCTCGCCAATCCTGGTCCCCTCCATTCCTGACCAGCATGATTCTGACAAAGGTCCATTTTTGGAGGGGACCGAGGGGAGAGAGAGATTTCCAAGTGGGAATGTGACCTACGGGATTCCTGAAGAATCTCAGTCCTCAGCCATTTCATCAGTACCTGATGAAAAATCCAATATGATGCCAACCTGATAAGTGACATTTGTACTACACAAACACCAAGCAATAACTATCTCCAACAAGAGACAATCTGACCATCACCCCTTGGCATTCAATGGTGTTACCATCACTGAATCCCCCACTATCAACATCCTGGGGATTACCATTGACCAGAAACTCATCTGGATTCACAATATAAACACAGTGGCTACAAGAGCAGGTCAGAGTCTAGAAATACTGCAGCAAGTAACTCACCTCCTGACTCCCCAAAGCCCATCTACGAGGCACAAGTCAGGAGTGTGATGGAATACTCCCCACTTGCCTGGATGGGTGCAGCCCCAACAACACTCGAGAAGCTTAACACCATCCTCGACAAAGTCGCCTGTTTGATTAGCACCACATCCACAAGCATTCACTCACTCCACCACCCACACTCAGCAGCAGCAGTGTGTATGATCCACAAGATGCACTGCAGAAATTTACCAAAGCCCCTTAGACAGCACCGTGAAAACCCACGAACACTTCCAACTTGAAGGACAAGGGCGGTAGATACAGAGGAATACCACCACCAGCAGGTGTCCCTCCACGTCACTTACCATCCTGACTTGGAAATATATCGCTGTTCCATCACTGTTGCTGGATCAAAATCCTGGAATTTCCTCCTAAAAGCTCTGTGCATGTTTCTACACTGCAGTGATTCAAGAAAGCAGCTCAGACTCTTGTCATAGGAAGACCGATAGAGGACTCTGGGTCTGTAGTCAATGGAGTTTAGAAGGTTGAGGGGGGATCTGATTGAAATGTATAGAATACTGAGAGGCCTGGATAGAATCAATGTGGAGAGGGCGTTTCCCCGAGTAGGGGAGACTAGGAGCCAAGGGCACAATGTCAGAATGAAGGCACAACTCTTTAGAACTGAGGTGAGGAGGAATCTCTTTAGCCAAAGGGTGGTTAATCTGTGAAACTCATTGCTATAGAGGGCTGTGGAGACCAATTCATTAAGTGGCAGAGATAGATTCTTGATTAGTAAGGGGATCAAGGGCTAAGGGGAGAAAGCAGGAAAATAGGGTTGCGAAACATCAGCCATGATCAAATGACAGAGCAGACTCAATGGGTCCAATGGCCTATTTCTGTTCCTGTATCTTATGTCCTTATGGTCACAACCGCCTTCTCAAGAGATGGGCAACAAATGCTGGCCTCATCAGTGATTATTACCTCATGGCGAGGGGGGCTGTGTGTAGTTTTAAGGTGTGTAACTTTAAAATTAAAACGAGAGGGCAGTGCTTTAAAAAAAACCCACATAAAACATTGCTGAATTTTGAGGTTTAGTCAAAATTTGAAAACAGAAATTGATAAACATTAAAAAACTGACAGGACTGCGGATGCTGTAAATCAGAAACAGAAACAAAGTTACTGGAAAAGCCCAGCTGGTCTGGCAGCATCTGTGAAGCAAAAAACAGAGTTCACGTTTCGGGTCTGGTGACCCTTCCTGTATTGATAAACGTTTGTTCAGCAAGGCTCGTAAGGGATATGGGAGCAGGGGAGGGCTTAGATTCAGGCTAGTCATGGTCTAAATAAACAGCCTTGATGGTCTACATGGACTGTGTGAATTCCTATGATCCAGACACCTCTTGCCATCAAAGCTGAGCTGTACAAGTGGGAGGGAGTATGGAGAAAAGGCACAAGATGCCAACTGGAGGTGGCTGACTTGGATTAGGAGGCACAGTGGGTGGAGTGTCATGTGGGAAAATGTGAGGTTATGTTTTTGCCAAGAAGATTAGAAAAGCAGCATTTTTTTTAAATGGAGAGAGACTGCAGAATGTTGCTTCTGGTACATAGAGTCATAGAGTCATAAAGCACAGAAACAGACCCTTTGGTCCAACTTGTCTGCACTGACCAGATATCCCAATTTGACCTAGTCCCAATTGCTAGCATTTGACCCATATCCCCCTAAAACCTTCCTATTCACATACCCATCCAGATGCCTTTCAAATATTTTAATTGTATCTGCCTCCATCATTTACTCTTATTCCATACATGCACCACCCTCTGCGTGAAAAGGTTGTCCCTTTTTAAATCTTTCCCCTCTCACCTTAAACCTATGTCGTCGAAGGGTCTAGGCCCGAAACGTCAGCCTTCCTGCTCCTCTGATGCTGCTTGGATTGCTGTGTTCATCCAGCTCTACACCTTGTTATCTCCTCTAGTTTTGGATTCACTTACACTAGGAAAAAGACTTTAACTATTCAACCCTACCCAGGCCCCTCATGATTTTCTAAGCCTCTATAAGGTGACTCCAGAGCCTCTAATGCTCCAGGGAAAAATGCTCCAGCCTATTCTGCCTGTCCCGACAGCTCAAATCCTTGAGTCCCAGTAACATTCTTGTCAATCTTTTCTGCACCCTCTCGAGTTTACCAACATCTTTCCTATATTCTAAAAGTGGCATCATCAATGTCCCATATAGTTGCGACATGACTTCCCAACTTTTATATTCAATGCTCTGACCAATGAAGACAAGCATTCCAAATGCCTTCTTCACCACGCTGTCTCCCTGCAACTCCACTTTCAATAAACAATGTACGCGCACCCCTAGGTCTCCCTGTTCGGCAACACATCCCAGGCCCTTACCATTAACTGTATAAGCCCTGCCCTGGTTTGCCTTTCCAAAATGCAGCACCTCACATTTATCTAAATTAGACTCCATCTGCCACTGATCAGAAAAAGTTAGCGTGTAGGTGCGGCAAATGATTGAGAAGGTGGCACACCGGTTAGCACTGCTGCCTCACAGTGCCAGGGACCCGGGTTCGATTCCACTCTCGGGTGACTTTCTGTGTGGAGTTTGCACATTCTCCCTGTGTCTGTGTGGGTTTCCTCCGTGTGCTCCGGTTTCCTCCCACAGTCCAAAGATGTGCAGGGTAGGTGGATTGGCCATGCTAAATTGCCCATAGTGTTCAGGGATGTTTAGGTTAGGTGGGTTAGACATGGGGAAATTGGTGGGATGGTCTTCGGAGGCACAGTGTGGACTTCTTGGGCCGAATGGCCTGTTTCCACAGTGTAGGGATTCTATGATCTATGTAGGCAAATGGA